CTAATTTCGATGTTCAATCATTCACCGGTAATTCATCTTTCGAAAAGCTTTTAATAACATCTGAACTTTGATCCCGAATAGTTAGTCAAGTGTAAACTTTGAAAACTGTCAGAGAGAGAGAGAGAGAAAAAAAAGTTTTTCCAAAAACATTCAGAAAATGTATAAACAGTTTCGAGGACTAAAACCCCCCAGTCGATTCGGGTAAACTGGATAATTATATTATAATAATAATAATAATAAATAAATTCGTTATCTGAATGGTGTGAAAAAAAAAAAATTTTAAATTAATTTTAAAGTTATAATTATCATTATGTGTGTGTTTATATAACTTTTTATGTGATAACATTTTGTGAGATAAGAAAAAAGGTAAAAAAAAAAAAGGAAATTTAATCAAGAAAAACGTATAGAAGGGTGGTGGAGATGGTGGTGGTGGTAGTAGTAGTAGGTAAACACATCAAAACGAAGACAATTTTTTTTTTGTTGCTGTTAAGTCTAGAATAAAATCGAGCGTGAGGAAAATTTTTTCAGTAGAGAGAGAGAGAGAGAGATACATCAGGTGTGAGGTCACAGTATTTTTTTTTTTTTATTACATTTTTATAGAGGATTGAAAAGGGTGGAAAAAAGGGAGTGAAAGAGAGAGAGAAGGTAAAAGACGATATAAAACAGGGTATAAAAAAAAAGAAGCAAAATTTAGAATAAAGATTGAAAAGGATGGAAAAAAAAGGTTAAAATTTAAGGAAGGGGATGTTTGAAACCGATGGGAAGATACCAATCGAAAAAAGAAAAGAAAAGAAAAGAAAAATCCATTCTTGTTAACAGAAGAATATCCAGGTCACGCTTTCAAAGTCACGTATTCTTTTAAGCTTCATGTTTCAACTTTCTTCTTTTCCTTCTGCTTCTTTTTAACAAAAAAAAATTTTTTTTTCTTTTTTCTTTTATTTTGTTTCTTCTTCTATTCTTTATTTTTTTCTTTCCATTTTCAAAAATGTATAAAATGTGTGTACTTTTTTGAGTTCAATCTGTTTACGGAATGCAATTTGTGTTCCATCAAAATTGTTACCTTTTACTCTTTTACTCTTTTTTTTTAAATAAAAAGGAAAACGCGAAAAGACAGAAAAACCTTTGGGAAAAATTTCCTCAACCTTTTTTCCTTTTTTTTATTATTTTATTATTATTATTGTTATTTTTTCTTTCTTATTTCTATATTACATCTTACGCATTTTTTTTTTGACTGTTCTATTTTTAAAATTGAATTTGTGAAAAAAAACTCGGGATTCAAAAGGTCACCTTTGTTATCATCCTTTGATATCATTTTTTTTACGTCATCACAACCTATCGAATTTTAAGTTTCCTATTATTATTATTATTATTATTATTATTATTATTATTATTATTATTATTATTATCATTTCCTTTATTTATTTTTCAAACAAAAAATAAATCTTTAAAAAAAAAAAACGGTCAGTTTTTTAAAATCTTGAATTTTCATTAAAAATTATAAGAATAACTTTTAAATTTTCTTTATTCGCACTCTTCCGCCTCCCCCTAATTCCCCCCTCCTCCCCCCGCCTAAAATCTTCCTTATTAACGAACTTTGTTTTTAAAAAAAAAAAAAAATTGTTGAAACTTTTTAACGTTTAAAAAACCTTTTAAAGGTTTGAAGAAAAAAAAAAAAAGGAAAAAAAATAAAAATAAAAAATCAGCAAATTTTCTTTTACGAAATTTTCCTTTTTTTCCTTTTTCTTTTTCCTTTTTCTTTTTCTTTTTTCATTTTCTTCTTCTTCATCTCTGATTTCAAACTTTAACATTTTTGATTTAATCATTAACGACTTTTTTTTCTTTTTACTCTCGGATTTTTATTCCAGTAAAAAAACAAAACAATAATCACGTGATTTATAATCGATTTTTTTTTTATTGGTTTATTTCGTAAAGTAATATACAAATCTTGAATTTTTCCCGCCATTTTTTTTTTCAATTTAATTTTACGATCGTTTGTCGTAATGATGATAATAATAATAATAATCGATTGTGTAACAACATCACAAATTTATTCGGAACAAGAAAATAAAATAAAGGAAAAACATTTTAAACGCGAAAGGAAACAATTGAAAAAAATAAAACAAACGGCTGGAAATAAAAATTTCCAAAAAACGAAATAAAATAATTAAAACGATTAAGACTATAATGTTATAGCGCTATTATTAATAAACAAAAACGTTTATATCGTTAAACGAAAAAAGAAAATCTTTTACTCGAGAGAGAGAGAAAGAGAGAAAGAGACAGAGAGAGAAAATAAAATGCCAATGTGGGGGCAGTTTGACCGAAAATAATTTATTTAAAAAAAAAAAAAAAAGGTTGAGATTAAGTTTAGATGATCAATATAAAACAGAGAAAAAAGAGGAGGAGTAGGAGTAGGAGGAGGATTGTATTGTAAAGAGTTTTGTAAAAAGATGCCTCGGGGATCAGTTTCAACTTAAGTTTTGCCCTTTTAGTGTTCATTCCGACATCTTCGGATTAAAATTCTAAATTGTTAGTTTTAAACATAAAAACCTTTTTCTAACACGTTTTAATTAATTTTAATAGAAAATTATTATTTATCATTATCATTATTATTTACGAAATAAATCAAAAAAAAAAAAAAAGATTTTTCGTTTATTATATAATGTTTATCTTACCTCTTTCCGGTATTGGATCCCCATTTCTAGATCCGATGCGAACTTCCGTGAATTCTTCGTAAAACCTATCAATACGAGAAGAACATTTTAATAATATTTGACCACCGTCAATAAAATCACCCGGAAATAAAACCATTGAAAGATTTGCCGTGCTATAAAACAAATTATCTGGAGTCGGATGATGATGAGTCGTCGTTTCCGCTGAAACTCGTACCTGAAACAAAAACGTTAACGTTGAAAATTTAATTGAAAAAAAAAAAAAATTTTTTTATTTGTTTTTTAAAAAAATATTGCCACCACGTGACTTTCTTTTCCTTTTTTTTTATTCAAAAACTTTGAGATTTTAATCTTTTGAAAGAAGAAGGAGAAGCAGAAGAAAATGTTTTTTTTTTTTTTTTTTTTGTCTTTTTTTCTTCACATTTTATTAAATCTTAATTTTATTTTTTTCATTTAAAATTGAAATCATTCTTTTAAAGGTTTTTACCGCTTCATTTTTATTTTATTCACTTTCCCCTCCCCCCACCAACTCCTCACTTTATATAGGAGGAGGAGGAGGAAGAGGAGAAAAATAATTTTTCCCAGGCGACGGTTAAAATAATCCATCACGAAGTAATAAATGTCTCGAAAAAAAAAAAAATGTATAAAAAGTCACGTTAATGGAACGTTAACGTACCTTTAGAAAATAAATTTTCTTTTATTCTAAAGGAGACGTGGGAGGAGAAAGAGGAGGAAAAAAAAGAGAAAGAGAAAATGCGAAGTTAAACGTGTAAGAAAAAGAAAGAAAATGATGGAGGGCAACGAAAAAAAAAAGAACCAAGTTAAAATTTTTTTTTTTTTAGATGAAAATTGAAAGAAAGAACGTTGAAGAAAAAGCGTGAAATTTCAAACTCGAATAATAATAATAATAATAATAATAATAATAATAATAATAATTTTTCCTCAAAATGTTTGCCATGCTTTTAAATCTGGTTTAGATACCAAAACGTTTTTTCCCCCTTCCCTTTGAAAAAAAAACACACCCACTCATCCCCTTTCCCCTTCCTCTTTCTTCCATCCGTATTTACTCTTACAAAATCTTCCCATTTTTTTTTTTATTCTTTTCTTTTCCTTTTATTCTTCTCCACAACTTCTCCCTCCTTCCTCCTCGTTTTTTTTTTTTTTTTTTTACAAAAAATTTTAAATTAATGAAATTAAAAAGGCTCAACTAAATATAAATTATTAATTTTTTTTCTAAAAATTTATTATTATTATTAATATTATTATTAGTTTCGCGTGAGGGGGGGACCCAATTAAATCATTAACATTTCATTTTTTTTTTGTAAATTTGATAAAAAAATAAAAAAATTCGACGTAATTTTTCCTACGTTTTTCTTCTGCTTTATTATTATTATTATTATTAAGAAAAAATTTTAATTTTGATATGATAACGATGATATTATTTAAATAATTAGGTCATTGACCTAAAAAAAAATTTTTTTTGTTTTCCTAAATGATGTTAATACAATTTACCTCTTTTCTCTTTTCTTTCTTTCTCTCTCTCTCCCATTCTTTAGCATACATATATTATAATTTTGATATTTAATAATAATAGTAATAATAATAATAATGATGATGATGACGTAGTTAATTAAAATAAAATTTTTCATGTGAAAAAATAATAATAATAAAATAAAATTGAATAATAAAATTAAATTTACGGTCTGAATCGAAATAAAATCAATTACTACAAAAAGAAAAAGGAAAAAAAACTAGGTGGATCAAATTTATAAAAAAGGTTTAAAAAGGTTCAAAAGGTTCGTGGATGGTAGGAAAAAAAAACTCGAAAGGATATACTTTTTCTTATTTTTTAAAAAATAGGATTTATCAAATTTTAAACGTAAAACCTGTCATTAAAGTTAATGTAGCGTGCATACAATCGTTATTTCCATCGACTTTCAATCAGAAAGAGAAAGAGAGATTCTTTTTTTTTATTTTGGGGAGAGGGGAGGGGGTGGAATAATAAAAAATCTACTGGAAAAGAAGAAGAAATGTTTGGGTGTCCAGGGCTTTTATATATAAAGAATAAAGAGACCCGAAAAAATAAAATAAAAAAAATTTCATTTTGATTTTATTGGTTTGATTTTATAAGTTTTCTTTTTTAATAATGAAATACGATATAATTATTATCATCATTATCATTATTATTATTATTATTATTATTATTTAAAAAATTTTCCTCGTTTAGACAAGTCGAAATTAGTAAAAAACACTTCCGCTTCGGATCAATCAAATGATGACGTAATCTTATCAAAACTTTATCGACGTTACAAATCGGTGGAATTAAAATTACGATCGCGCCTAAAAAAAAAATTCTACCTGATTCTAATCACATTTTCTAAAAATGAGGTTTTAAAAAAATTTCATTATTTATTCTTCTTCCCCGTTTTTTTTTTTTTTTTTTTAATAGAAATTTAAAATCAATGAATGTCGTCATCGTCAACGTCGACGTCGACGTTGACGTCATCGACGATGTTTATACCAGAAAAAAAAATAATAAAAAAAACTCACGGGCGAATTGTTTATGTAAAAACTAAGTGACGCCGGAGGTTTCGACGGAAACGACGTGCAATTAGCAAATAACGTGTCACCAACGTTATATTTATCTTTATTAACGTGAAGTTCCGGACGATCTTTGGGTCTCGATACAACGTTCAGGTACGCTTTTGCCTGTCTCGTTTTAAAACTTGGAGCATCCGTCGTTACTTCGCATGAAACGTTACCACCCAAACTGAAACCGACGTTACGAAGGAAAACCGCCGTGGCATTAGAATAAGACAACTGCAAAAAAAAAAAACAATTTTATTTTTTTTTTAATTAAAAATTCGAACCTTAAAAAGCAACAAAAAAAAAAAAAAAGGTAACGCGAGTAATAATTTTCTTTTTAATAAAAAGAAAAAAAAAGGTTCGTTTGAAAAGAGGGCGGATAAAATGAAAAAAAAAAAGGTTTTTAAAAAAAATTATTTAATGAATTCGAA